TATCTCATTGGGAGATGACTGAGCATCTCATAGTGAGGGAGATGGATGATCATTTCACAACAGTGAAATGAATGACCAGCTGATATTGTGATAAATGGACAGTTCACTCTCTCTTATCTCTCCCCTTTTTCTCCTTCTCTCTCTCTTATCTCTCCCCCTTTTTCTCCTTCTTTCTCTCTTATCTCTCGCCTTTTTCTCCTTCTCTCTCTCTGTTATGAACCAACATTAACATCCAACTGTATAATCATATTGAATATAATCCCCATCAAAATCAGAACACTTTCACAGACACAAACACCTCCCATTTGCAGGAAATCAGACCCTAATCTTCTTAGAAGATCAGAATAATATAGATAGATATTTAACTTTATAAATTTGTATTTTATTAACCCGGTCCATGTCGAGTCATTATTCAGCAAGTACGTGGATAAATAGCCAATTTTAACACCATATTTTTGGATCAAGGTTATTACACCTCACGATCGTGTAATTGGGGATATTAACACCATATTTTAACATTATATTTTTTAATGAGTATAATTTTATAATACTTCACGATCGGGTAATTGGCGAGTATTGGAGTTATGTTCCCTCGTGACCTTAATTTCATTACATCTCTGTATCTATTTAGTAGTGATCTATGATGGGATATTATAAGGGTTTATAGTACAGACAGATTGTAGTGTTTGGCGTTCGATCTGATCCCTTGTATTGCTTATTAGTTTATTACTGTTGAAAATATGTTATATATATTTTTTCCCCTTGTACATTTAGTTATAAGGAAATTATTATTTATTATACAAAAATTAATAAAATAACGTATAATTATTTTATCAATGATCTTTAATAATGAAGTAATTTTATCAATACAGTTTTAATAATGACCGTATTTTCAAATACATGACAGGTGTCTTCTGCAGCACCTGTGTGTGTGCTTGAAGACCCGTGTATTACAGTACGGTGACTCAGCGCGGCCCGAGGCAGCAATGGGGGTGTCCCGGGCCGAGCCCTAGCTGGGCCGAGCCCTGGGGGACTTCCAGGTTAGTTTTTCCGTCACTCGTTGATGTTGGTGGCGGCTGTGGCGGCCTTCCTAGCCGGCCTTGTGTACCTGACGTCACCTGCGCTCTGAGGTCTGCGCGGACACCCACCTGGGCCGGTTGTCCTCTCTCTCTCTCTCTCTCTCTCTCTCTCTCTCTCTCTCTCTCTCTCTCTCTCTCTCTCTCTCTCTCTCTCTCTCTCTCTCTCTCTCTCACGCACGCGGGACACAAAAAACTGTAAGGAAGATGAGTGTGTGTGGGGAGGGGGGGGGAGATGAGTGTGTAAAGCTCAACACCAGTATGGTTTTAAGGAAGGTTTTTCTTGCTCCTTATACCTGATAGAATTCTATGACTAGGTGACAGAGAAGGGTTGAAAGACGTCCTTCTTTCGAACTGACGGCAAGGTGCTCGCGTGACTAAGGGAGTACCTAGGCAACAAAAGTCACACACACACACACACACACACACACACACACACACACACACACACACACACACACACACACACACACACACACACACACACACACACAGGCGAGATGTTTCACAGGGAGTCACAAAAGGGTCAGTACTAGAACATGAATATTTTCCTGAGCTACTAAAGTGATCTCCCGGAAGGAATAATCCATTTCCTCTCATTGTTTGCTCACAACGCAAAAATTATGAAGATACAGACGATGGGTGACTGCAAGAACTTACAAGATATCCTGAACAATCGCAATGATTGGTCGAAGAAGTGGCTACTAGAGTTTAACTCAAGAAAAGGCAAATTAATGAATCTGGATGATGGAAATAGTAGGCCTGACATATGGCAGAGGACATTCTCATGAAATAGGACAGAGAAAAAAAGACCGGGGATGATATCACATCAATCATGTCTCCCGAGGGTAAAATAAATTGGATATTGTCAGTTACATAGGAAGGGTTGTCCAGCATGGAAGCTGCCTTTAGAAAGTTGAATATTGAGTGTTTTATACCCTGCATACCGCATATGTCAATTTTAAAATATGCGGAGCTAAATTGGCATCTTTGTCTCGTTAAACAGCAAATGAAGCTGGAGAAAGTCCAAGGGAGTGCCACATGAGTAGTACCAGAACCGAGAGGTATGAGTTATGAGGAAATAGTAAATGAATTTAGTTTCAAGTCAAGAAAAAGACAGAAGAGTTCGAGAAGGCAGGTGAGACCTCATGCTCACCCACATGCACCCAATCGTGTATATATACCCGTTTATTTATGATAGTTATACACTTATACACACCCCTTCTCTCACACACACACACACAACGTACGTGAGACAAACTCTTGAAGATGCAGTCAAGGCATTAAAACAACACGAAAAAGAATACAACCACACAAGGCCCAAATATACACAACTTGACTCATTCCTGAGCCGAGAGGATTGAGCTAAGAGGAAAGTTTGACGAAACTAATAATCACTGCTCAGGAGTAAAGAATAAAGGGAC